AATGCTGGGCCAACTGCTCGCCTCCCCTCGTCACTCACGCTGATTGATGCTAGGGGGCTGAAGCATCATTGATTTTCTCTTCAAGGATTCCCGGGCTAAGTGCTGGCCTTGGAAGAACTTGAGGCACCAAGGAATACAAGAATTAAAAACCTATCTATCTTAGTATGTGCACACACACACCCATACAGTATGAACAGTCATATAGTGTAGATGAACACACAATTCCTGACTTCACATACACATGCCAGTCCATGTCTCCTTACTAAGTTCTAGATTACTGGGCCACTCAAAAATGTAACTAGCTGTGATAATTCCAAACAGGACTGCAACATACTGCACATCCACAGTTAAACTGATGTACACTTCCTGTGCAGTAGTTATCATAAGCACCACCACCCTGTATTTGAAACAAAATTATTCACTAAAGTCTATGAGATGAATAAACACTGTTTGGCTGTACTCACTTGTCAGTGATTTCTCTGGCGAATGGTAATGGATGCCTTTCTGGCTAATTAACCAATTTAAAAATAAAGATTTCTACATGACACATACTGTACAGTACTATGTTTAGTATCCATGCTTATATACAATCAACTTCCACAAATTCCAATCTTCCCATTGAACCAGAAGTACGTTAATTGGGAGTCTGGCTGTGCTTTGCAGAGAGCATTTCCTCAGAACCTTCACTTTTCAGGCACTTCTAACAGCAAACGTAGCAAGGCTGTACTTTGAGCAACCACTGAGCAAACTTCATTACATTTTGATCAGTGAGTTCCCTCACGTCCAGAAGCTCAAACCAGGTGAAACAGAAAGAATTCATACCGCCTGGCTCGCAGATCAATAGCAAACACCAAATTCATAAATAAAAGCTAACTGCTCCGCTTTTAGAGGAAGATCTGTCAACTTAATTACTTGTTTATTTTTTTTCTTTGGGTGTTTGCTTTTTATGTTCAACTTCAAACATTAAATAGACTATTAGAATCAATTCAATATTAAATGTATTGATCCCTTTAAAATCTACACACACTGGCAATTTAGCCAGGGCTGATCAAGCGTATTAGTTTTGTCACTGCCTTGAACTATAGATTCAAGGAAGGTTATTCTAGGGAATTTAAAATTGTGGGAGACCTGCAGTCACATTCCATCAGAAAAGGTAAATTTGCACTACGGAGCAATTGACAGTGTCTGATTTGCTTGGGGAAGACAGTGCCTCCTATGGTTTATAGTAGTTTGTGTTTCTAAATTAGCTTTTTATGTATGTGCTAATCTTACAATTTTTATTTTACTATGTGGACAACATTAATAAGATTAAACAGCACTCCAAACTCACTTGAGCAGGCGTGAATTTAAAATAAATAACAATAATGGCAATTTCACCTTTAACCTAAAGGATGTTGTAAAAGGATTTTGGAAGAAGAGAGCTTGATCCTAGTCTGCATTGATTGATAATGAAAAATGTATTCGTTGAAAATGTAAGGGTAAGGCAGGGTGATATTGGAAGAGGAGCATCTCTCATCAGGTCTTGGAAAATTAATGAAGGCTGGGTCTGGTCAGTACTTGGATGGGGAGAATGATAATCAGTCGGCTGTTAGAAATAGTGCTGGAGGACCAGTAGGTGGAGCTGGTCCCTTTAGACCAGAATTTCTGACACAAGCCCCTGTTTGGCCCCTACCCTCACCATGAAGATTGGACTAAAAATGGATGAACTGATGACCTACGGTAGTATGGTAATTGGGGTCACGGTGGCATTCGTGTTGTAATCAGTGAAATGAAATGCTAAACTGAGTTTACTTTCTCACTACTTAGTCATTAAAGTTGCCAGAGCACTGCTCTTAAGAGCAGGGTCATTAACCACAGTGTCCTGATTAAATTCTACTCTGGGCCTCATCAATCTGGCCTCAACTTCAAAACTTCTTACTCCTCCCCCTGCTCTGCTGTGCAGTGAGGCTACTGGTGCTGAACGGCTGCCTTGTGTCACCCAGGTGGGGGCTGAACTTTGCTGGATGATGTGGACCCCATCTTCATATAACGCACTTTTGGATAAAGGGGCTTTATATGCAGACGCACATAAAAGATTCTCTAATACTTGTTAATGTAATTTGCTAGGAGCCTTTGATTTTTGACACATTCTTAGGTCACACATGCAATATACGCTTAAAGAAAGTGCCATTTTATATGGTGACACAATACAGCTCTCCAGTTTTGAGTAAAGCAGACAGGCGGTGCTGAAATTTGTGCATACTGCTACAGCATATTGAGCTATTGGGGGTATAGTTATTACTGTTGAGTACAGCAGTAGATAGAGACAGACAACATATTGATTGCAGTTGCTATAATACTCAGGCAGAGCAGATCTCTGGATTAAGCCAAATGTCTAGAGTGTTTAGTTTTATTTTTCTTCCTTACACGACAAGAAAAATCATCTGTACCTTGTCTTCAGTGCCAAGACTGCTCCTACCTTTCTAAGGGAAAAGAGGGCCTATTAAAATCAGAACTGGAGAGACAACATAAGCCACTGTAGCCTTCTGACTGTGTGCCAAACCTGCTGAGCTCAACTGCCTGTAGATCTTTAAAGATCAAAACTACTGTATGTCAACTGTTTTACTAGGTAAACCTAAATATCTAACTTTCCATTCTTCTAACTGTTTCTCCCTAAGTCTGTCTATTTTGGAACACCGTTACAATTTTAAAATGCACAATAACCCCGAAAGTTTTTTTTTTGTTAGATCCACAGAGATGCCTTTCACTGGGAAAAGTTAGCTATGCCATTCAGAAGAAGCCTGATATGGGCAAAATAGCTGTCCTTGGCTGCTGACCGTAACTTTGTACAGTATATGCAATGTGTAACTAAAAGTCTAATTAAATGCTTCTACCTTTCAGTGTTGGGAAACAGTGAGAGCTAATTAATATTGCTTCCCATAATTAGCACCCATCAATCAATTGACAAATAGATGTACAAATATACAGTTTTTTGTTTGTTTTTGTGTGCATGGGACTGTTGCATGCAGATATGCATTTTTTTGTATTTTAAGATGCACTGAATACATTTTTTGTGAACATATGAAATTCAGTAACATAAAAAAATGCTCATTAATCCACCCCTAATTTCAATCACATTCCACCATCTTAATGTGAAATTAAACAATGCACCCAGAGGCATGTCAGACACTAACTGAAGAAGCCAGTGCTCAACAGCAGCCCTTCAATCTTCAGTAGTGTTCAGATCAGTAAGCAATACTGGATTGATCTTTAGTTTGGATGAATGGGTAGCCAAGTTTGTCCCCTGATGTGGGTATCAGGAAGCCAGTCTCAAAGAATTCTAGTGCCAAATACTTGGTGCAGGTCTTTAATCATCACAAAACTTCAATTTCTCAGCTAAGGTCTCTCTGTATGGTCACAGTTCCCTCTCCAATTATTATTTTTTCCATCCTGGATATTTCATAAATAGCAGCTGATAAGTAGGGTTCAGGGACACCACCATTTGAAGATCTATCCCAGTCTTTACCTCTGCTTTATAAAAAATAGTTGCTCTCCCAAAGTTAATCATAAAGTTTAAATACTTATAATTGCTAGGAGAACAAAATGTTTGTGAACATATTCTCTTCTATTTTTAGCTGCAATTAATGAATGAATTTATAGCCTTTGTCTGCATTTTGTATCTAATGAATCACCATAATATAAATTCAAATACCGTATGTAATCCTGGAAGAAAATGCATATACAGTATATGATCCTGTTCCTAGATTAAACAAGGTTAGAAATCCAGGCATTAAGAGTAAATGAGTCAACCTCTCATCTTGTGATTGCCCTGAGTCCGCATGCCGTTTCCAGAATTAACAACAGATTCTTACTGGGAGGTCCCTATAATTATGGTTTCCAAATAATCTCCCAACATGAGAAGATTTTTCGCTGTGCTTTTGACGTGGAATAATTTCTTCGCTGACCATGGGTGGACCCAGTCTGGCTACTGCAGATTTGAAAGACAAATTGCAATTAGTAGGTTTTTAACATGATAAGAGCAATGTTTAGCCTGTGCTCCCTATAAACAAGGCTTGTAAATGTTGATTCTCAAAAAACTCCGTATTAACGGTACAGACAAGCTCCGACAGTGAACTGCAAAAGAGTCGGTGCCAATGTTTTTTTTTTTAAATCTACATATCTGTGTCACTGATGATCATACTAATTTCAAGAGTAAATTAACTTGACAAAATTAAAAAAGCAACTTTTGGTAAGAATTTAATACAAGCGGTTAGATCTGCGGGGCATGCCATGTATGCAGTAGCTATAACTGCTTGAAGCCATTTTTATGATTTCAGAAAGAAAACTTACTTATTTGTCTTTTGGGGTTTTCATGGTTGTTTGTGTACTGTGGAGGATGCAGGTGTGATCAGGACTACATACAAAAATGTACAATATATGGCAATGAAAACAAGATGGAGCAGGACAAGAAAACTGTCCCCTAATTTTATTTTCAGCTCTGCTGGAACCACTGTTCCTTCATTCTGGGCTTCACCCTGGGACCCCAGTTGTGACCCCAGACTTCATTTTGGCAGCGTCTCCTTCACCTTGTGCTGACTCCTGAAGAACCTGCAGGGCAGGTTTCCTCGTTTGTAACCATATTTTGTATAACCCCACAAAAATGCATAGAGCCTGACAAGACTGAGCTGTTAAAAATGAAGAATCCAGTAATGGGATGGAAATAAAGATTCCATAGCAGTTAGATCTGTTCCAGTACTGACAATCTGTTGGCTCCTTGTCTAAATACTGAGTTGTGTTAAATCCAAGTGTCTCAAAATAAGATCACAAGGATGAAATACCCAGCACCCAGTGTGTACTGACAAAAAATTGCTTGGATGCCTTTAAAACATGAAATGAAAAAAAAAAAATGCCACACATTGGGAGCAAGGCCTTCTGTCTTGAATTAGCAGTGTGCCATGCATTTAAAATGAATCCCTCCCACCCTGGGGTCCCCAGTCAGAGGCGCTGTGCCTCCATCTTACCTCTGAGACATAATCTTGAAGGCGTCAGGCAGGTAGCACTGTACATTCTCCATCTGGAAGGGGTCGGCATCGCAGATCTTGTCATCAGTTCGGCCATAGTTGGCGGTCTCGATCATAATGACGTCACTGCCCGGGCAGCGCAGCTCAATGGGGTACCCCTCGCAGGCCAGCTCGCGCCGCATCAGCCCAAAGGGCATGGCAGAGCGGCTCAGAGCTGAGGAAGGAAGAGAGACAGGCCATCAGTCATGAGAGAATGGGGATTTGCCAGCTCCTACCAAGCTGCTGGTCAGAGGTTTGACACTGGCTCGTTTGTTCTTGCCATTATGAGGCCATATTTACCAAATTGATCTAAAAAATATCGTATTCCTTTAGGGCTCTCTCATTGTGGGTAAATACTTGGAACTAAAAACCGACCTCTAAAATTTGGTGATCACCAAATAACAGAACTTTTCATTGTTCCTTTCAAGATTTCTGTCTGCATCTGTATCAAAGGTGAGTAGATGAAGGGAGCAATAAAGGTCTGATACAGCCTGAGTGCCTGGAGGACTCAGAATCTCCATTCCTTTATGAAGAAATGGACCTGTTTCCGCCTGTACAATCATTAGTTGTGAAGGTGTCAGTGATGATGCCTGTGCCTGACTTGCCTATGGCACCATGAGGACCTCCTTTCATCCCACATCTTTACACCCCATTCATTCATTTTCTAACCTCTTCTTCTAATTCCGGGTTGTGAGGGAACCGGAGTCTATTCTGGCAACCAATGGGAGCAAGTACAGCTGTCCATCACAGGGCAGACACACAGACACTCACACCAGAGCCAGTTTTCCCAGTCTGTCTTTGGACTGTGGGAGGAAACCGGAGCACCCAGAGGAAACCCATGTGAAAACTGGGAGAACATACAAACTCCACACAGATAGCACCCCAGGACTTGAACCAAGGGCCCCAACACCGTATGGCAGCATTTCTAACCACTGTGCCACCATGCTGCCATTTTGAAATCCCCACATCTCTAAACCATTCTAAGCTAAACTGCTTTGGAACGTACAAAGGTTCCACTCCGAACATAGGGAGAGCCCTGTAGTCCAGAGACTACCTGCATTTAATCTGGGAAACATCATTAACGGACTAGTGACAGAAGACAATTTGCTAATAGCACTTCAGTACATCAAGGTCTCAACATTAAGTGTACAGAACTGTCACATATAGCCAAATTCGCACCTAACCAAGTCTATCCCTTTACTGTTGCATCATGTCCTACAGTATGTACTACTGTATGTGTGGTTAAATACATAAGTCACCTACCTTTTATTATAATTAAAGTACTAATGCTTTGGCTTCAAGCTAATGAAAAGGACTTAAATCACAAACTTATAGTAATCAGTTAAAATTAATAACATGTATCCTCCTCTGCATCCAGTAGGATTCTGCACATTGTATTATTATCATGCCCCACTGTAATGAAAACTGTCAATAAAAAGCCTGTAAAGTAATCACCAGCCTGTCATTCTCCACACTGCTAACACAACCAGAAGAGTTCATTAAATACAGAAACAAGACCACGTTGAGATGATAATTCACAGATGTCCAGATCCTATTCTATTTAGTAAGGATTAAGTCAGCTGTGAGAACAACAGTGATCAAGGAGGCGTTATCGACGAGAACTGCATCAGTGCTCCAGCTGATACGGATTTCAGCTGTAGGAGCTGAGAGAAGTGGACAGTCTGATAGCACAGGTGTCACAAAATGTGAGATGTGCATATACAGTATATCTCTTGTACTCCAAGGGTTACAGTACAAAGGTACATCAATTTACTTAATAACAGAATCTGCAGTTCGAACACTGAGGACATAAAAATAATTGGCAATTCCATATTCCAAAAACAATCAAAAAGAAATATAACACCCCCCCCCCCCCATTGTGAAAAGGTCACAAGAAGTGACAATACCCAGCAAGAGTTAGATTTCATTATGCCCGTTTATACTTACAGCCATGACCAACAAAGATCTTTTAGTGCTCACACAGGTCAAGCTTTGAATCAGATCAGAACAATTTAGTACATTCACATCAGATTTTTTAGTTATTTACTGTAGCTGTTAACTGGTACTGTATGTAAAGTTGATAGCCCACTGGGGTCACTGTGCAAGAGCCAAGCCAAACAAATGAACATTTATCACCATACACAGCTTGGCTCCAAAGAAGGCAAGTATATAAACTAACAAATGCATTTAGACAGTGTTGCAAAGGCTAGGGTGATAAGATTTTGCAGTGCGGAAGCCCACAGGGAACATGGATAAGAGCTGAATTACTTTAAAAACAACAGAATGAAAAGGAAGCATTTTGGCTCTCCAGCTGAAACAGAGCCAAAGAGCTGTGAGAAAAGATGACCTTGTTTCTAAATGCAAAAAGTGAACACTTTTTCACCCACTGGTGAAGTTCTTGGCAAAATATAGAGTTTTATATAATAAGAGTCTGAGTCAACTGCATGAACCAACTTATTTAGCACGTTACAGGCATGCTGCAAATACTATACCGTATGTATATGTTTTCAAGAATTTCACATGAATTCTACAGAGCCAATGAGCTCAACTTATACTATAGAAATGTTTATTAGGTAGAGCTTTGTGCTCCAGTTAGAGTGACAGAGTTATTGATAGAGAGGGTTACTCTGTTTTTATTTTCAGATTGCAGTTTTCACACTGAGCAGTCTGTTCGATGCACGGTTCTCTCGACTGCTGCTCCTCTTTAAATTACTGTCAGCCATGGCCGACACACTGTGACACCTCCCCACTTGCCATCCTCAAGCACTTACCACCAGCTCTGCAGCTCGCCAGACCTCCCACTACTCACCTTCACGGTCTCGGATTCAGGGCGACAGGCCTCGAATGAAATCCAAACTATCCGCCAATCAGCACGCTTCAAATGCAAACACCTGGTGATGGCTTGGAGATTCCCTAGGAATCTTTTTCTTAAAGACTGGACAGTGTTTGCAACTGCCAGGTGAGTTGATCTTCCAGATTTAATGTAATCAAAACCTCCTGCCTATATTTATTTTATATTGTAACCCTGGATGTTTGCTATGTTGTACATCCTTACGTGCACAACCTGGGTGTTGTGATGTAATTTTCTTTTATTGCATCACATAATCCTTTAGGTTTTTGCTGCATGCACCACATGGCTATAAGACTCCTATTAATAATGTATTATGTAGCTTACGTACATTTACCTAATAATATTCCACAGGTGTCACTGCTGATGATTAGTGCTGTTGCCTCATGCCTTTTGGGTTCAAGTCCAGACTGGGGAACCTTCTGTGTGAAGCTGGCATGTTCTTCACACATTCATGTGGGTCAGGTCCTGGGTTTTTCTCCTACCTCACAAAAACAAGCCATCGTCTCTAAATTCTATTCAATCTAGGATCTAAGGATATAGCTCTGCCTTGTTACTTCCAAGATCAGCTCCGTGTTGCTGGAGTAATAATGTAACCTTAAAGAGACGGGCTTGTTCCATTCTTATCATGCATTAAAATTAATATGAACTTTATCCATTCCTCCCTCCCTTTCTGCTTGAGAGCTGATGATGAGGGTATCCATAAGCATAGCTGAAAACTGTAGACATTCCTGATACCATGACATTCCTATTCCACTGTTTCACAAACATGATAGTCATAAAATTCCAACTGGAAGTGCATGATCACTTCACATTTTTTAAATGAATGCAGGTGTGATTCCAAACCCACCCAACTTGGAGCAATGCATAATGGTTTTGGCTCGTCCCAATGAAATATATGGACTACTGTACATACCCCTCTCCCGGACTGGTCCAGAGGCACAGACAGATACACAAGTGCACAAACACACAGACAGTCAGATCTACAGTATTCCCAGACAGTGGGATTAATGCCTGTGTCTGTATGGAGCCATGCTCTCTCATCGCTCTCTCAACCCCCGCTGTGTTAATGCACAGTTCCAGGGATCAGCCTGTAATTAAATCATTAAGACACTGCAAACAAGGCAAGATGTGGGAGAGAGACAGCAGGGGGTGGGGTAGGGGATGGGCAGACAGTGGTAGCTGCTATTCACACATAACAGCCCAGTGACAGTTCTGCTCTCTCTACAGTTCATGGGCCCTACCTGCCTACTATATTGCTGGGTGTAGAAATTCCTTGATACACATACACTCTCTCACACATCAGCCAGTCTCTATTGTTAAACAGTGCTAAAGCCAGTATATTTCAAAACAAAACTTTGTTGCTCCGCACACATCTGCGACTCTTTAAAGAAGTGGCCAATATGGTTTTTCCAAAGGGGTCCTACTGCTCAGATTGCAGGAAAGCCCAAGCTATGTCACTGGCCAGCTGTGACTGGGATTGTCTAAGCAGCAGTCTAAGGTTTTCTCAGGCTCCCACTGCAGCAACCAGACTAAGAACAGTAAAACACAAGAAAGGCTGTCAATGAGATGCATCCTATAATGCGGTACTAGTTGCTCATGCAGTAGTTCTGAGGCAAATAAAATCTAAAACATATCCAGTTCTTGAAGGAATCCAGAGTTTGGGCCTTAAGCACAGCTTCTTCATGCCTACCACTGTATGTAAAAAAAACCCTATTTGATTATCCTAAATATATTTGCTTTTAGGTGCTCTGGGTCTTTGATTTGTAAATAGTTCCCTGGGATTTACTTTCAAACAACCTTTTATTTCAGTGGTGCTGATAGGCGAGGAGTGAATCCTCCTCTGACCCATCTGAAGGACAGCCATCTCCATGCGTTTCCGCTAAAGGTAGCAGGCAGACATGCTGATTGGCTCAGAGGTGCGGCGGCTGTACTAAACCTCCTTAACTGAATATATAGAGATACATCATCTAGTCTAATGTTACAGGACTGGGTCAAAAGCCACACATAAACGACTAAGAAAGAAAGCAATCTGAAAAAATGCTTTGTCAGGTTGTCCAGTGGAAGAGAGTTTGGATCAGACAACCCGATAGTGATTGAGTGGTCTGATTCACTGGTGTCACATGGTACCGGTACTGAAACAACCCAGGTAATCCATCAGCTTCTCCTCTTGACTTGCCCTATTGTCTGAACAGACTTGATTTTTTAATACAGCTTTTTGCCTCATGCCTCATTTCCATCTGTGTTTATGGGGTTCTGGCTTCCCTGAAACTACAGCAGTGGGTCAGCGTCATTTATTCCTTTTCAAATGTCAATCTAACCTCTAT